TAGTAAAGAGGCTATAGTGCTAGTAAAGAGGCTATAGTGCTAGTAAAGAGGCTATAGTGCTAGTAAAGAGGCTATAGTGCTAGTAAAGAGGCTATAGTGCTAGTAAAGAGGCTATAGTGCTAGTAAAGAGGCTATAGTGCTAGTAAAGAGGCTATAGTGCTAGTAAAGAGGCTATAGTGCTAGTAAAGAGGCTATAGTGCTAGTAAAGAGGCTATAGTGCTAGTAAAGAGGCTATAGTGCTAGTAAAGAGGCTATAGTGCTAGTAAAGAGGCTATAGTGCTAGTAAAGAGGCTATAGTGCTAGTAAAGAGGCTATATGCTAGTAAAGAGGCTATAGTACTAGTAAAGAGGCTATAGTGCTAGTAAAGAGGCTATAGTACTAGTAAAGAGGCTATAGTACTAGTAAAGAGGCTATAGTGCTAGTAAAGAGGCTATAGTACTAGTAAAGAGGCTATAGTGCTAGTAAAGAGGCTATAGTGCTAGTAAAGAGGCTATAGTGCTAGTAAAGAGGCTATAGTGCTAGTAAAGAGGCTATAGTACTAGTAAAGAGGCTATAGTGCTAGTAAAGAGGCTATAGTGCTAGTAAAGAGGCTATAGTGCTAGTAAAGAGGCTATAGTGCTAGTAAAGAGGCTATAGTGCTAGTAAAGAGGCTATAGTGCTAGTAAAGAGGCTATAGTGCTAGTAAAGAGGCTATACTAGTAAGAGGCTAGTAAAGAGGCTATAGTGCTAGTAAAGAGGCTATAGTGCTAGTAAAGAGGCTATAGTGCTAGTAAAGAGGCTATAGTGCTAGTAAAGAGGCTATAGTGCTAGTAAAGAGGCTATAGTGCTAGTAAAGAGGCTATAGTGCTATAAAGAGGCTATAGTGCTATAAGAGGTATAAAAGAGGCTATAGTGCTATAAAGAGGCTATAGTGCTAGTAAAGAGGCTAAGTAGTGCTAGTAAAGAGGCTATAGAGTAGTGCTAGTAAAGAGGCTATAGTGCTAGTAAAGAGGCTATAGTACTAGTAAAGAGGCTATAGTGCTAGTAAAGAGGCTAGTACTAGTAAAGAGGCTATAGTGCTAGTAAAGAGGCTATAGTACTAGTAAAGAGGCTATAGTGCTAGTAAAGAGGCTATAGTGCTAGTAAAGAGGCTATAGTGCTAGTAAAGAGGCTATAGTGCTAGTAAAGAGGCTATAGTGCTAGTAAAGAGGCTATAGTGCTAGTGTAAAGAGGCTATAGTGCTAGTAAAGAGGCTATAGTGCTAGTAAAGAGGCTATAGTGCTAGTAAAGAGGCTATAGTGCTAGTAAAGAGGCTATAGTGCTAGTAAAGAGGCTATAGTGCTATAGTAAAAGAGGCTATAGTGCTAGTAAAGAGGCTATAGTGCTAGTAAAGAGGCTATAGTGCTAGTAAAGAGGCTATAGTGCTAGTAAAGAGGCTATAGTGCTAGTAAAGAGGCTATAGTGCTAGTAAAGAGGCTATAGTGCTAGTAAAGAGGCTATAGTGCTAGTAAAGAGGCTATAGTGCTAGTAAAGAGGCTAGTACTAGTAAAGAGGCTATAGTGCTAGTAAAGAGGCTATAGTGCTAGTAAAGAGGCTATAGTGCTAGTAAAGAGGCTATAGTGCTAGTAAAGAGGCTATAGTGCTAGTAAAGAGGCTATAGTGCTAGTAAAGAGGCTATAGTGCTAGTAAAGAGGCTATAGTGCTAGTAAAGAGGCTATAGTGCTAGTAAAGAGGCTAGTACTAGTAAAGAGGCTATAGTAAAGAGGCTAGTACTAGTAAAGAGGCTAGTACTAGTAAAGAGGCTAGTACTAGTAAAGAGGCTATAGTACTAGTAAAGAGGCTATAGTACCAGTAAAGAGGCTAGTACCAGTAAAGAGGCTAGTACTAGTAAAGAGGCTAGTACTAGTAAAGAGGCTAGTACTAGTAAAGAGGCTAGTACTAGTAAAGAGGCTAGTACTAGTAAAGAGGCTTGTACTAGTAAAGAGGCTAGTACTAGTAAAGAGGCTATTACTAGTAAAGAGGCTAGTACTAGTAAAGAGGCTTGTACTAGTAAAGAGGCTATGACTAGTAAAGAAGCGTGTACTAGTAAAAAAGCTAGTACCAGTAAAGAGGCTAGGACTAGTAAAAAAGCTAGTACTAGTAAAGAGGCTAGTACTAGTAAAGAGGCTAGTACTAGTAAAGAGGCTAGTACTAGTAAAGAGGCTAGTACTAGTAAAGAGGCTAGTACTAGTAAAGAGGCTAGCACTAGTAAAGAGGCTAGCATTAGTAAAGAGGCTAGAACTAGTAATGAGGCTAGTACTAGTAAAGAGGCTAGTACTAGTAAAGAGGCTAGAACTAGTAATGAGGCTAGTACTAGTAAAGAGGCTAGTACTAGTAAAGAGGCTAGTACTAGTAAAGAGGCTAGGACTAGTAAAGAGGCTAGTACCAGTAAAGAGGCTAGTACTAGTAAAGAGGCTAGCACTAGTAAAGAGGCTAGGACTAGTAAAGAGGCTAGTACCAGTAAAGAGGCTAGTACTAGTAAAGAGGCTAGTACTAGTAAAGAGGCTAGTACTAGTAAAGAGGCTAGTACTAGTAAAGAGGCTACCACTAGTAAAGAGGCTAGTACCAGTAAAGAGGCTAGTACTAGTAAAGAGGCTAGTACTAGTAAAGAGGCTAGTACCAGTAAAGAGGCTAGAACTAGTAAAGAGGCTAGTACTAGTAAAGAGGCTAGAACTAGTAAAGAGGCTATTACTAGTAAAGAGGCTAGTACTAGTAAAGAGGCTTGTACTAGTAAAGAGGCTAGTACTAGTAAAGAGGCTATTACTAGTAAAGAGGCTAGTACTAGTAAAGAGGCTATTACTAGTAAAGAGGCTTGTACTAGTAAAGAGGCTATGACTAGTAAAGAAGCGTGTACTAGTAAAAAAGCTAGTACTAGTAAAGAGGCTAGTACTAGTAAAGAGGCTAGTACTAGTAAAGAGGCTAGTACTAGTAAAGAGGCTAGTACTAGTAAAGAGGCTAGTACTAGTAAAGAGGCTAGCACTAGTAAAGAGGCTAGCATTAGTAAAGAGGCTAGAACTAGTAATGAGGCTAGTACTAGTAAAGAGGCTAATACTAGTAAAGAGGCTATGACTAGTAAAGAGGCTAGCATTAGTAAAGAGGCTAGAACTAGTAATGAGGCTAGTACTAGTAAAGAGGCTAGTACTAGTAAAGAGGCTAGAACTAGTAATGAGGCTAGTACTAGTAAAGAGGCTAGCACTAGTAAAGAGGCTAGAACTAGTAAAGAGGCTAGTACTAGTAAAGAGGCTAGTACTAGTAAAGAGGCTAGTACTAGTAAAGAGGCTAGTACCAGTAAAGAGGCTAGTACTAGTAAAGCTGCTAGTAATTTTAAGCAGTACTAGCCTCTTTACTAGCTTCTGCTAAGCTAACTGTGATTAGGACATACTGTATATAAAACCACCTATCTTTCTACAGTATCTATTTAACTTTCTGTCTATCCGTCTATACTGTATGCCTGTCTGTCCGTCCGTCTGTCTATCCATCCATCTATGTATCTATTTACAGTATCTATCTATCTGCAGAATCTATCCATCTATCTACTGTATCTCTCTTTCAATCCATCTATTCACAGCATCACATTGTATCCAGAAAACCCATCCCTAAATTTACCACATTCCCACATCCTCCAAAAACAGAGGCTCTAAAAATACTCTGCAGAAACACACCACTATCTCTTCTTTCTCTTCTTTGTATGAGTTCATTGTTGAGCCTCGGCTGTTTTTAATGTGCTGTAAAAACACAGATTGATTGATGGATTGATTGAGGACCTTCAACCCGAGAACTCACTTTGGGTCAATTACAAGTTTCGGCCAAACCCTGGATCTTTGTGAGAGCTGTCGGCAGCAGAGACGGGGTCAGAGCGAGCTACAGCGCGAGGAGATTCACGCTTTACATTCTGACAGCTGACACAGAGGACGATATGGATGAGAGGGGAGGGAGGGAGGGAGGGCTGAGCGGAAGAGCCACGGTCTAAAGCAGAATAACCAGACAGATCCAAACAGACCAGGGGAGACCAGGGGAGACCAGGGAGGTGTCAGTGTACTCTATAGCAGTGATTCTAAACCAAGGGAATAAATATAAATGTAACTTATTTTTAACATGTAAGTTGCTATAGAGATGTTTCTATGGCAACAATGTCTATAATAAGGATTAGGATAAGGTACTTTTAAAAGATGCAAGTACTGCTTATTATTAGTATTTTTTTCGTTTTACTGACTGTTGAAATGTCCGTGTGCTTGGTAGAATATATTGCATAATTTTTTTTCTGGGGAGACTGAAACAAACTAGACTAAACCTAAACTAAACTGGTGTGATCCTGGTGTTTATAATGTGATATTGTCTTTGTGAATCCAGTTATGAGCCATATAAGGACTGACCAATCAGATGGCTTCATTCGCGGGGAAAACTCAAGCTTGCCTTAGCAACCGTTAGCATCACATTATGGCAAGAAGCTAACGCACTCGGAACAAATACCCATATAAGGAAATGAGCTCCGCTAGCTTATGTTCAAGTCGGCCTCTTCCACATCAAGACTAGCACAGTGGTGATGTCACACTCAGTCCACTGCTTATACACAGTCTATGGGACCATGGTATTCCCAGCACTCTCCCATCTGACAGACTAGACTTCCTGGACTCCACTTCCTGGACTCCCCTCTCTAGACCCCCCTCTCTAGACTCCCCTCCCTCTAGACCCCCCTCTCTAGACTCCCCTCCCGCCACTGTCGTCCAAGCACTAAACAGTAATCATTGATTAATTGTAATTTCTCCTTGTAAATCAAAAGTCCGAAACGTCAGATTAGAAAACCTCAAACCGCCCGTGGAGCTGAGGACCTAATGATCCATTAGATTTCTATGGCTAACATCTGGACCAGTCTTTCTGTGAATCGGCTCTGTCTTCCTGCTTGTTCTCCTCGTTCTTCTTGACCTTCTTTGTGTGTAATAGATGTAAAGACAGATGGATGATGTCGCTCGACGGTCACTCACCGACGCACGACTCGCCGTTGGCGGAGAAGAGGCCGTTGTCGTGGTAACCGTCGCGGCACTCGCAGTGGTACCAGCCGGGCAGGTTCACACACGCAGATCTGCTGTCGCACTCCACGAAGCCGTCCAGACACTCATCGATATCTGTGAGAGAGAGAGAGAGAGAGAGAGAGAGAGAGAGAGAGAGAGAGAGAGAGAGAGAGAGAGAGAGAGAGAGAGAGAGAGAGAGAGAGAGAGAGAGAGAGAGAGAGAGAGAGAGAGAGAGAGAGAGAGGTGTTTGTGATACAGTCTGACACTCTGCGTGTGGATATCAATATAAGAAACAAGATACAGAACAAAAGATTGTTATTTTCCGTGCAGCTCAACTTAGGAATAGGCTGCTTTGGGAGAAGAGGGATCAATCTCTCTGCATATATATAAAAACATAAAAATACATAATCCATTTGTCTTAACTGTGACCCCAGGAAGAGTAGCAACCGCATTGATGTAAGCTAATAAACAATAAACAGTCGATATATTTACACAGTACACAATATAGTAGTAGTAGTAGTAAGTAATCTTTATTTATATACCGCCTTTTCACTGCAGATCTGAGTCTCAAAGCGGTTTACAATTGTTAATTATGGGCATTTATCTCTCACTCCACACAGAGATGGGAGCGGGGTCGCCGGTACAGGAGGCGCATGCCAGACATGCCTATTCGACATATTTTTAGTGGTAGGGGAAACCGGAGTACCCGGAGGAAACCTACGCAGACACGGGGAGAACATGCAAACTCCACTCAGAAAGGCCCTGGTCCGACCGGGATTCGAACCCAGGACCTTCTTGCTGAGAGGCGAGAGTGCTATCCACTCAGCCACCGTGCCGCTATATATATAATATACTGTAGATCCAATGGAACAGTGGTCTGAGAACATCTGATGTGGTGGTTCTACTCCAGACGTTTGTAGGATGTGATGTTATTAGCTTCATGTCGTGTTTTGATCGTATGCTAACCCTCTGAGACGCTTCTGAGAAAGACTCAACTTTGATGTCTTGCAGTTTTTTGATGTAGAAGAAATGAATCACTTTATTTTACCGAGAAGACAAGATGAATCTTCTTAAACTACAGGAATCTTTCTGCATAAACTCAAATATGAGCTGATCTTTCTCAAAAATCGTCTCTTGTTTACCAAGGTATGTCCCCAGAATCTAGAGTAACTTAGAGTAATGTACAATAGAGAAGAGTAGTATAGAGTTGAGTAGAGTAGGGCAGAGTAGAGTAGAGTAGAGTAGGGTAGACTAGAGTAAAGTAGAGTAGAGAAGGGTAGAGTAGAGTAGAGTAGAGTAGAGTAGAGTAGAGTAGAGTAGGGTAGACTAGAGTAAAGTAGAGTAGAGAAGGGTAGAGTAGAGTAGAGTAGAGTAGAGTAGAGTAGAGTAGAGTAGAGTAGGGTAGGGTAGGGTAGAGTAGAGTAGAGTAGAGTAGGGTAGGGTAGACTAGAGTAGAGTAGAGTAGAGTAGAGAAGGGTAGAGTAGAGTAGAGTAGAGTAGAGTAGGGTAGGGTAGAGTAGAGTAGAGTAGAGTAGGGTAGGGTAGGGTAGAGTAGAGTAGAGTAGAGTAGGGTAGAGTAGAGTAGAGTAGAGTAGGATATGGTAGGGTATGGCAGGGTAGGGTAGAGTAGAGCAGAGTAGAGTAGAGTAGGGTAGAGTAGAGTAGGGTAGGGTAGGGTAGGGTAGGGTAGAGTAGATTAGAGTAGAGTAGAGTAGGGTAGGGTAGACTAGAGTAGAGTACAGTAGGGTAGAGTAGAGTAGGGTAGGGTAGGGTAGGGTAGAGTAGGGTAGAGTAGAGTAGAGTAGAGTAGAGTAGAGTAGAGTAGGGTAGGGTAGAGTAGAGTAGAGTAGAGTAGAGTAGAGTAGAGTAGAGTAGAGTAGAGTAGAGTAGAGTAGGGTAGGGTAGGGTAGGGTAGGGTAGGGTAGAGTAGAGTAGAGTAGAGTAGAGTAGAGTAGAGTAGAGTAGAGTAGAGTAGAGTAGAGTAGAGTAGAGTAGAGTAGAGTAGGGTAGGGTAGAGTAGAGTAGAGTAGAGTAGAGTAGAGTAGAGTAGAGTAGAGTAGAGTAGAGTAGGGTAGGGTAGGGTAGGGTAGGGTAGGGTAGAGTAGAGTAGAGTAGAGTAGAGTAGAGTAGAGTAGAGTAGAGTAGAGTAGAGTAGAGTAGAGGATCCATTATATTTCCACAGCTAACCTCTGGACCAGTCTTCCTATAAATCTGCTCTGTCTTTCTGCTTGTTCTCCTCGTTCTCCTCGACCTTGTCCTCTGTCGCGGTGTGTAACAGATGTAAACGCAGATAGATGATGTCGCTCGATGAAGATTGTAACGTCTTTGAATAATATGAGGAACAAGAATCGCAATATATCACAGAATCAAATCGCAAAACTGCATCGCAAAAAGCCTAAATATTGCAATACCATCAAATCATCCCATTTTTGCCAGTTCCCAGCCCTGGTAAACTCCGAGACCAGAGGAGGGTGTGACAGACAGGAGGCCCTTCCCCACCGCGGCCGCCGGTCATCAGGAGGTGCTTCTAACAACGATGGATTTGTAATTGATAAAACAACGTCTGCAGCTTCGAGCGGAGCCTGATCGTGGAGCATCGATCGCTCTGCAGCAGGAGACGACGTCCACATCGATACAGGAACCAAGAGAAATGAATTGTTTCACAGGACGCCTTTTCACGTCCGATACTGTTACTGTCTGTGAGTGATGGACACAGACGTCATGAGACTCTATCCACGAGGGAAGTACCAAAGCATCTGAGTCCTGGGTCTACAGCCTCAGTCCTGGGTCTACAGCCTCAGTCCTGGATCTAGAGCCTCAGTCCTGGATCTACAGTCTCAGTCCTGGATCTACAGCCTCAGTCCTGGATCTACAGCCTCAGTCCTGGATCTACAGCCTCAGTCCTGGATCTACAGCCTCAGTTCTGGATCTACAGCCTCAGTCCTGGATCTACAGCCTCAGTCCTGGATCTACAGCCTCAGTCCTGGATCTACAGCCTCAGTCCTGGATCTACAGCCTCAGTCCTGGATCTACAGCCTCAGTCCTGGATCTACAGCCTCAGTCCTGGATCTACAGCCTCAGTCCTGGATCTACAGCCTCAGTCCTGGATCTACAGCCTCAGTCCTGGATCTACAGCCTCAGTCCTGGATCTACAGCCTCAGTCCTGGATCTACAGCCTCAGTCCTGGATCTACAGCCTCAGTCCTGGATCTACAGCCTCAGTCCTGGATCTACAGCCTCAGTCCTGGATCTACAGCCTCAGTGGTCTTGACAGAGGTCACCCCGCTCCCTATGGACCAATGTGTGTTTGTTTTTACTGCTTTTCTTGTGCTTTAACTCTTTGATTCTCTGATCTGTTGTCGGCAAATCCACATCTTTGTAAAGTCTTTCGAGAAAACTGTTAGATTTAAGTCGAAACACTTTTACATTGACTTGAAAACAAAACGCATATATCCAGAAGAGTTTCGGTCCAGACAGCGGTAACGTCTGGACCAGTAGCGGCGCCAGGTTTGCAATTTTGGGTAGGCCTGCAGATTAGTAAGTAGGCCAAATTCGCACGGGGTTTCAAAGAATATGGTTCAAATGCACGCACACACACGCACCCAAGCACACACATACACACAAGCTCATTTATGAAACTTGCGTAGAAAAATGTGTACATTTGGGGTGTATATTCCATTTACGCAAAATCCAACGTCGGACTTTATGAACGTGTGAGATCAGCCCAGATCTGTGCGTATACGCAGCTGCGGGTGTTGATATATCGGCTGAATACGAACGTATTTGATGAAAGTCACGCCTAGAATTATGCAGCAATGTTCACGACAGGTCAGCACGGAAGTCCAAAAAGACTTCGACCCCGTTGGAAGCCTCCAAAGGCACGTTTGTTTGTTATGTTTATGATAAAAATAAATATTCGCTATATATTCAGCTGCGTTTTGCACACAATTTGCAAAAATTAGTTTTGATACATTAGAACCAATCTCTCTTGAATTGTAGAAGTGAATTAATATAGATTGATTGAATGAATGAATAATTCATATATATCATGCAGCGGTGGCTCTCATGAATGAAGCCGCGTCTGCAGTGTCTTGGACGCCAGCCTGGCTCGGGGTAGAAGTGCGCATTGAGGCGCTGTACACTACAGCGAGTGTTTGCGGTCAAGATTTCACAAAGAAACTGAAGCCAAAACTTCTGCACATTTGAGGAGTTATGTGGCGCGATATCTCACGGGCACTCGCTGCGCACTCTGGACAGGGCAGTGAGACCATTTGGAGTGAGCAATACCATCGGTGGCGTTATTGGGGTGTGTGTCCTGTGTGAGGCTAACACAAATCTAATGAAATAACACATTGCTTTACCAGATGTGAGGAATACAAATAGCCTGTGCGTAATTACGCAGCGCAGAGCCTGCCACACTAGCATAGGTCACACATCCCTGTCGCGTTCAAGTGTATTTATATACAGTAGAGCCTTTCACTGTTCAGGATCACAAACCGCTTCCACATTTAAAAAACATATACAGATCAAAATAATACACACACAAGTCAGATTTAATAGAGGGTCCATGATCATGAGCTGTGATTTATTCGAAGTTTGCATTTTTCCATTAGACTTTTTCCGATGCGCAAATTCAACTTTTGAAACATGCTGCTCAATGAAAACACAGCAAGTTTCATACATGAGGCCCTGTGTCTCTACCTCACACACAGGCTCATCAGTGCGAGGTGAACCTGGCCTGACTGCGCTATCCTCCTCTGGGACCTGGCCCGAGGCCCGGGCCTCTGGCTCCTTCTACTCACGAAGTTCACGCTGAACTTTCTTAAAAAATCAAAATGACTAAATAAGGCTGCTTTGTTGTGAATGTTTTGAGAGCGTTGTTGTCCATCTTAAAGACGAGAGGAATGGCTGCTTGTTCTCGGGAACGAGCTTTGCGATGCGTGATATGATCATGCAGATTATTGGACAAAATTATTCTAGCCAATAAACAGGACTATTTGAAGCAACGTGAACGCTCGTAGGGGGTTACATTTTCTTAAAACATTAGAACGCAACATTTAGGCAATAATGTGTGTATAAAAAATAAACAATATTTAAATTATGACTTTTAATAAAAAGGCTAATGACTTGAGAGGCGAAGAACAAATTTGAGGAAGGGGACCGAACAAAAACTGGTAGGCACCGGCCTTCCCGGGCCTATCACTGGCGCCGCGGCTGGTCTGGACTCTCTCTGACTTCAGACGACATCATTTACAGACTTGAAAGTGGCTCAGAAAAGGCTTTTGTCGTTGCTGCTCTCTCTGTGAGTGTGTGGGAGGTTTGAACCGACGGGTCTTGTTTGTTTTCCCACAAACACAAAAAAACCCCCACTTAGAAATATCCTTGAATCTGTCTCTGGCCCTGTCACTCAGAGAACCGTTCAGAACAGGGACAGAAAGAGGATAAACTGTTGGATCTATGGAAACGATGACGGAGGAAAAAGATATGAATTATTTACTGAGAAAAACTGAAACAGACAAAGAGACACTAAAATAACACACTATTTTTTGTTAATTGGGACTAAATCTATATATACTGTTTTAGAACGCTTCATATTCATATCTCTTTGGATCTAAGTAGTTTTCACATGTTTTAGCCTCAACCTTTTTAAGTGATCTACTCTACTCTACCTGGTGTTTCCATTATGCTTTTGTATCTGGTACTGTATCCAAGCAATCTACCCACGACAAACCAGTATTTGGGGAAATTCCTTGGTAGCCATGGCTTCCAGCAGCACTCTGGCCAATCACTGTCAGTTTAGAACACTTTAGCACCAGCTCGGCTGTATAGGCACCAGGGGACCAAGAGGGACTGAAGAAGGACCTGGAACTGGTTAAACAGGGACCAGGGGAAACAGATTAGAGTAGAGTGGGTTAGGGTAGAGTAGAGTAGGGTAGGGTAGGGTAGGGTTCGAGTAGCGTAGAGTAGAGTAGAGTCGAGTAGCGTAGAGTAGAGTAGAGTAGAGTAGCGTAGCGTAGAGTAGGGTAGTAGGGTAGGGTAGGGTAGGGTAGGGTAGAGTAGAGTCGAGTGCTGCTGCTTCATACTGCGAGCTAACCCTCTGAGACGCTTCTGAGAAAGACTCAACTTTGATGTCTTGCAGTTTTTTTGATGTAGAAGAAATGAATCACTTTATTTTACCGAGAAGACAAGATGAAATCTTCTTAAACTACAGGAATCTTTCTGCATAAACTCAAATATGAGCTGATCTTTCTCAAAAATCGTCTCTTGTTTTACCAAGGTATGTCCCCAGAATCTAGAGTAACTTAGAGTAATGTACAATAGAGAAGAGTAGTATAGAGTTGAGTAGAGTAGGGCAGAGTAGAGTAGAGTAGAGTAGGGTAGAGACTAGAGTAAAGTAGAGTAGAGAAGGGTAGAGTAGAGTAGAGTAGAGTAGAGTAGAGTAGAGTAGAGTAGGGTAGACTAGAGTAAAGTAGAGTAGAGAAGGGTAGAGTAGAGTAGAGTTGTAGAGTAGAGTAGAGTAGAGTAGAGTAGAGTAGGGTAGGGTAGGGTAGAGTAGAGTAGAGTAGAGTAGGGTAGGGGTAGACTAGAGTAGAGTAGAGTAGAGTAGAGAAGGGTAGAGTAGAGTAGAGTAGAGTAGAGTAGGTAGGGTAGAGTAGAGTAGAGTAGAGTAGGGTAGGGTAGGGTAGAGTAGAGTAGAGTAGAGTAGGGTAGAGTAGAGTAGAGTAGAGTAGGATATGGTAGGGTATGGCAGGGTAGGGTAGAGTAGAGCAGAGTAGAGTAGAGTAGGGTAGAGTAGAGTAGGGTAGGGTAGGGTAGGGTAGGGTAGAGTAGATTAGAGTAGAGTAGAGTAGGGTAGGGTAGACTAGAGTAGAGTACAGTAGAGTAGGGTAGGGTAGAGTAGGGTAGAGTAGAGTAGAGTAGAGTACAGTACAGTAGAGTAGAGTAGAGTAGAGTAGAGTAGAGTAGAGTAGAGTAGAGTAGAGTAGAGTAGAGTAGAGTAGAGTAGAGTAGAGTAGGGTAGAGTAGGGTAGGGTAGGGTAGGGTAGGGTAGAGTAGAGTAGAGTAGAGTAGAGTAGAGTAGAGTAGAGTAGAGTAGTGTAGAGTAGAGTAGAGTAGAGTAGAGTAGAGTAGGGTAGGGTAGAGTAGAGTAGTAGTAGAGTAGAGTAGAGTAGAGTAGAGTAGAGTAGAGTAGAGTTAGGTAGGGTAGGGTAGGGTAGGGTAGGGTAGGGTAGAGTAGAGTAGAGTAGAGTAGAGTAGAGTAGAGTAGAGTAGAAGAGTAGAGTAGAGTAGAGTAGAGGATCCATTATATTTCCACAGCTAACCTCTGGACCAGTCTTCCTATAAATCTGCTCTGTCTTTCTGCTTGTTCTCCTCGTTCTCCTCGACCTTGTCCTCTGTCGCGGTGTGTAACAGATGTAAACGCAGATAGATGATGTCGCTCGATGAAGATTGTAACGTCTTTGAATAATATGAGGAACAAGAATCGCAATATATCACAGAAATCAAATCGCAAAACTGCATCGCAAAAAAAGGCCTAAATATTGCAATACCATCAAATCATCCCATTTTTGCCAGTTCCCAGCCCTGGTAAACTCCGAGACCAGAGGAGGGTGTGACAGACAGGAGGCCCT